CCATTGTCACCTCCCACGGGTCTCTCACCCACATCTGTGTCACCCAGTCCACGACCAAAAGGCAAGCACAGTTTTTTCACGTGTCTGTAGGCCCCATGTGCCTCCTCCAGGTCTCCTTCTGGATTTCCATCCTCCTTTCTTCCTTCCTCAGTCTCCTCTGCAGCTTCTTCTCTCCCTGCTCAGCTCCACCCTCCATTTGGGTGGGGCAGGGAACCTGGAATCTCCCCCTTTCCTGGGGACCACCCTGTTACACTGGTATTGTAAGAAGTCTTAATGTGAAAATCTTCATTCTGGATTGATTCGAAGGCTGCCCTGTCTGATGGGATTCCTACTAGCCACATGTAGCCATTGCATTTAAGCTGAGTAGAGTTTTGCATAAAATAAGCCAAAAAGAAAAAGAAAAATACCGGATGGTCTCACTCATAGCAGGAATCTAGAAAACTTAAATAAGGGACCAGGAAAATGAATATAAGAAAGTAAAGTGAAAATCAAAATCAACAAAAAACTATGAACCAGAGACACTTTTTGGGGGTGGGGGGCGGGAGGGGAAGGATTGGGTCAGAATGGGGCATTTGCAATTGTATGGGGGAATATAAAAATAAAATTTAATATTTAAAAAAAAAAAAAAATTTCCTTACCCACGCTAACTACACCCCAAACCACATGAGGCTAGTTGCCATCATATTAGACAGTAGAGAGAGAACATTTCCACTGTTCTAGAAAGTTTTTTGGACAGCACTGATCTAGAAAGTCAAAAAGATCTAAGTAAATCATCTCAGAATCTAGACAGTGTTTAGAATGGTGATCCAGGAAAAATAAATGACAATTAATCTTGGCTAGTTTGCTACTAGCTATGATGCACAGTTTGCTGATTTGTCTAATGTTAAAAAAAAAAAATAAACACTGAAATTTTGTTCCCTCCTAGTATTTCCAGTTGTTAACAAAATTCAGCAGAAAGCCAGCCTCCCTGGCCCCACATACCCTTGAACTTCCGTTGCCTACATCCTCGTCATGGTCAAGTGACCCAAATCACTAGCTGACAAAGCAGATGTCCTGGCTAAAGAATAGGTGCTTGTCAAAAACCATGTGGGTTTTATTTATTTTCTACAGACACAGCTCATAAATGCAAGACTAGTGGATTCCTACCATTTTAAAAGATCAGATAAAGTAAGGTTCTGCTTGTACCAGATGCTAGCACTTTCCAAATGTTCTCCTTGTACCAGACACTAGGACTTTTGAAATGGCCCAGCAATAGGTGAGGCAGGGTAGTCATATCATATAGGAGAAGCATCCAAAGATAAGTACATGCACCCCTTCTCCTTCTGATCTCCTGGGTCTTTCTTCTTCTTTTTTTTTTTTTTTAAAAAAAAGACTTATTTATGCATACAAGAGCTGGGGTACAGGCCAGAGGTGTGGCGCGGGGATGGGGTGAGAGGATTCACCAGTGACAGAGTGGGGAACAGAACAGGCAGACTGACTGGAATACACTGCTGAGGGGAGCAGCGGGTGAGACAGGAAAGGTCTGCTGTGCCATGTGGGTAGCTCCCTGGCCGGCCAGGGATTGAACTTGTGCTACAGAGGCTGCTAATAACTTCACAGGGCTGTGCTAACCTCTTGTGACACCAGGGAGGCCCTGATCTCCTGAGTCTTTGACTCAGTCAACAATTCCTCCCACCCCAAATTCTAGCAACCCTCTATAAAGGCATTTTATCTCATAATTATTCTAGGTCTTTCTAATACATAGAGAGCCTTTGTTTATCTCTCTTTATCCCAGTCGGAAAATAAGTTTTTGTGAAATTAGGAAAGGTTAAAGGAAGAAAGAACTGGAGTCTCTTTATCTTTCTGCCTTTTCTTGCTCACAAAGGGGAGAAGGGATTGTTCTTGAGGTAGGAGGGAGTTAGTTTCAGGAATCTGGGCTCCCCCATTTCTCTGCAAGGGACTGCATTAAGAAGTAAGGGAAAGAGCTCTGACTGCCCAGGGTATGCCTTTGCAGATTCTCTTAAAGCCTGGATCCTGGAACAGCAAGTGGTCATCACAAAGACATTTCTAAACATAGAATGTTGCTGACTTGGCGACTGATCAGTGCTGCAGTTATTAGGAAGGTGGGTTGGTTTTAATGGGCTTACTCAATCGAAATTTGACACACTGTTCTACTGGAACAGCCAAAACCCAAAAAAAAAATCTTATGCTCATGCAGCCTCCACAGTTGCAAAATATGTTCTCAAGCATCATTTCACTTGATGGCCATGATAAATCTGTGGGCTAGGGCAAAACATTTGCAGAAGAGAGAAACCCTAGGGGTAAAGCGACCTACTTAAGGTCACATAGTTGGTAGGTGGTGGCTGAGTTTTGAATTCCACTTGCTTTTCTGAGAACATTGCTTTAGTTCTCACTTAGGTCTTGGACTCATAAAATAATACACATTTAAGGTGGAGACTCGATAGTGTAAATATGATAGCTTTTTTTTTTTAATGTGTAGAAGAGTAAAGGTAGAAGAGGTCCCCTAAGTATGAGTGAAGTAACAATGATTGTTCTATTTTAGTTTTTAATTAAGCCTCCCATTTGTACTAAAGATAGCTTTTTTTTAAAAGGTTTATTTATTTATACAAGAACTGGGGTACAGGTTAGAGGCATGGGAGGGTGAGAGAATTCACCAGAGAGAGTGGGGAGCAGAACAGGCAGACAGACCGAAGACACTGCTGAGGGCAGCAGCAGGAGAGGCAGGAGAGGTCTGCCATGCCTTGTGGGTTTCTCCCTGGCCAGCCAGGAATCAAATCCACACTGCAGAGGCTCCAGGCAGCTTCACAGCGCAGCACTCAACCCGCTATGCCACCGGGGAGGCGCTATGATAGGTTTTTATAAATAATATTTGCTGAGTGTCAGTAATACAAGGGATAAACTAATAAAAAATTGGGGTTTTTTATTTGAAATAGCTAAAGTGATGCATTTATAAGCAATGGATGCACATTTTCCTGGGGAAAACTGGATGCATTGGTCCTTATTCAAGGCAAGAAAATGACAGAGTCCTCTATGGAAATTTTCCTGAAAGGAAAGGATTTTGAAGCCAATCCTGAAAGATATGCCCAAAGACTCAGAGAAGGACATTGTAGCCAGGTGCAGAGGAATGGTGGTGAGAATGAGATGCAAAGTGCTAGCTTCAGTTTGGTGGAATACTTAAAAAAAGGACAGAACACTGGTTTATTATTAATTGAAAATCTACCCGACCCTACTCGTGTAGAGCTGAGTTTACAGAAGTGTGCAAAAGGATGTGGTCCCTGCATTTATATTGCTTCAACTTTTAGGGGGAGAGACTAAGAATTGATTGTTGATATTAAAATAATTACACAGGTGGGCCTCCCTGGTGGTGCAAGGGGTTAAGACGTAACCTATGAAGCTGTCCACAGCCACTGCAGCATGAGTTCGATCCAGCCAGGGAGCTACCACATGGCACAGCAGACCTCTCCTGACTCGCCCGCTGCTCCCCTCAGCAGTGTACTTTGGTCAATCTGCCTGTACTGTTCCCCACTCTATCTCTGGTGAATCCTCTCACCCTCCGCACCTCTGGCCTCTGTACCTCAACTCTTGTATGCATAAATAATAAATCTTTAAAAAAAAAAGAAAGAAAAAAAATAATTACACAGGTACTTCAGATTGTGATTGCTACATAAAGGAAGAGAACAGGATTCCCCGGAGTGTGTAGCACAGCAACATAAATTAGAGTGCTATTTGAGCTGACATGTGAAGGAGCAGCCATTAACTAGGTCAGTGGTTTGGGTGCAGAGGAAAGAGTGCTCAGGAAAGGGGCCTGTGCAAAGGCCCTGGGAAGATCAGGGTAACTAGGAAATGGGTCGTGTGCTGGAGTTAAGAGAGTGGAGGGGCGAATAGTGTGAGATGTGACTAGATGGGGGCACTTACTTGACCAGCAGATCACCCTGGCTGCAGTGTGGGAAATGTTTGGAGGGAGAGTAATAGAAGTTATGGAGAGACCCCTTAGGAGGTTGCTGAGTGATCCAAGCTGGAGATAACGGTACCCCAGTGCAGGGCGATGTAGTAGAGGTGGAGAGAAGAGGAGTTTCCATAGATTTAAGAGATGAAATAGACAGGACTTGGTGATATGTTAATGCCATGAAGCAGCCGATAAGGCTCATTCCTGAGTTCTGGATGCTTCAGTGGGATGGATGAAGCACCTGGCCACTGAGATGGGGAACGTTGGAAAGGGACCCAGTTTGGGGAAGAGAGTGATGAAATCAGTTTGGAGCTCAGGTAGGCAGTTGGGTCTATATGACAGGAGCTCAAGTAGAGAACTGAGCAGGAATTAAATGTGGAGGTCATAGCACACGTGAGCAATGCATATGTTTTCCCAGGGAGAAAGGAGATCAAATGAGGGAAGAAAGATCAAGCACTGAGGATGCTCAATGACTCAATATAAGAGAAAAGGTCAGCTCACCAGTATTTAGAGGTGGGAGAAAAACCAAGAGGTGTTTGAATGTCTTGTCATTGAGGTAGATGAAAATGTACTGAAAGGTGGAGTATCTTTCAATTAATCTCTGGACCCATCTCCCCGTTATCACCCCCCAAAATCTATTATGTTCATGGCAGCCTTGAACATGCATCTCCAGATCCAAGTCACTTCTGTGGTGCACTGTTAAAAAGTATATTTTTCTATTACTGCAACAGATTGCAGTGTGTGTGTGTGTGCGCGCGCGTGTTAGTTTTCTATCTGGAACAATAACCTCCTTTCCTTTTCCTACGTCATTGCACTTTTGGCTGCCACTGCAGTTTGTTGCAAATCTGAGCTTGTTTAATCCCACAGAGTACTAAACACTATTATCTAGTCTCCAGGCCTCTGCAATTCTACTCCAGGCGCCCCACCTTCGTTTGCCAGCTGGGATCTCTTAATGAGCTAGCTGACTGCACACAGTTCAATACAAAAACTATTTTAGTCGGGGAAATGTGTTTGAGGAACCCACTGATGGAATGTACTTCCACTCTCTCTGGAACTCTTTTTTCAGGATGGCTGTATCTCCTCCGAGTTACTGTTTCGTGGCCTTCCCACCACAGGCTAAGGAAGGTCTGGTGGTATTTGGAAAAAATTCAGCTCGGCCCAGGGATGAAGTGCAGGAGGTTGTGTATTTCTCGGCTGCTGATCATGAACCTGAGAGCAAGGTTGAGGTAAGTCACATGCTGCAGTCTCTCCATTAGCATTTATTCTTTCTCTGGCTTTGCCCGTTAGACCTTTACTTCTTTCACGGAAGCTTGCTCCCTGGTCTGATCTGTCCCTTTGGTTCTGCTCATTCCCCTTTCTATGCAGGTTTGGCTACCGCCTTAAAAATAGGGTCAGTGGTGAAATTTATGTTTGTTGCTCTGGTCTTTGTTCTATAATTAAGTAAAATATATATTTGGTTTCCAACTCCAATATACACAATGTAAACAATGAATATTTATAGAAGTCCAGCTTCTACCCCTGCCGCCTTTACTCCATTTCCTTTTTCTTCTCTAAGTAACCAGGTTTGGGCAGTTTTTTGGTTTGCCCTTCCATTTAAAGTCATAAGCTACACACACACACACACACACACACACACACACACGTATATGCAACCAGTCCCTTCCCCCTTCCTTAGGTGAATGGTAGCATGCTGGATGCACCTTTCTCCACTTTGCTTTTTCCAACCAAAACCATGTCTTGGAGATCATTCCACAGTGCTTCATTCGATGGATATACTCTAGTTTACCCAGTCCCGTATTGCTGGATATTTGGATTGTTTTCCAGTCTGTTGCTATTACAGATGGCACTCAAGTGAATAATAGTCTTGTGCATCTGTCACAGTGGGTTTGGCATATATATATTTATATATATATTTTATCATGGTAAAATAGTACACATCGATTTTTTATTTTATTTTATTTTATTTTTTTTTTTAAATAATGCTAAGTCTTTTTTTTTTTTTTTTTTTTAAGATTTATTTATTTATTTATACAAGCACTGGGTACAGTCAGAAGCGCGGGAGGGTGAGAGAATTCACCAGAGCCAGAGCGGGGAGCAGAGCAGGCAGAAGGACCGAAGGACACTGCTGAGGGGAGCAGCGGGCGGCAGGAGAGGTCTGCGCGCCATGTGGGACCCTCCTCCAGTGGCCGGGGAGCAGCCGGGGATCGAACCGGCGCTGCAGAGGCTGCGGGCAGCTTCGCAACCCAGCGCTCAACCGCTGCGCCACCGGGGAGGCCCGATTTTTTATTTTAAATGCCTTTAAAATGCTGTTTTTGTCGGGCCTCCCCTGGTGGCGCAGCGGTTGAACGCTGGGCTGAGAGGCTGCCCGCAGCCTCTGCAGCACCGATTCATTCCCTGGCCACCGGTGAGGGTTCCACAAAAAAAGAAAAAATGTTGTTTTTGTCACTCTTGGCCAAGAGATGCCTAAAAATAGCATTGCTATGTTGCATGGTAAATAGGTAATTTTGTTAGCTATTGCTATATTTCCTTTAGTAGGTAGAATATAATTTTGCCTTCCCTCCTGAGTATATGACTGTTTCTCCACATTCCTGAGCATGTTGTCAAACTTTCTTGATGGCTGTTTTGCATTAATTTTACACTCTGCCATTTCACTAAATTCTTTTATTGCTTGGATCAGCTTTTCTCAATGATTTTCTTGGATTTTCCAGTCATCTTGTTATATCACCTGCCAATAGAGATAGTTTGTGTATTCTTAACATCTCTATCTTCTTCTCTGATTACATTGGCTTATAGTTTGAATTCCTTGTCAAATAGTAGTGGAAATTAGAAGGTATCTTTGCCTTTATTTCTGATGTGAGTTGGGCAGTAACTAGTGCTTCCTTTAGGTAAGATCCTGGCTTTGGGATTGAGGTTTATATATTTTATCATATTAAAAATTATCTATCAGTTCCTATTTTGAGTACTTTTTAAAAAAAACTCAGAAATAGGTATTAAATTTTGCTAAAGGTCTTATCAGTGATTATGGAGATAATTATTTGATTTTTTTTCTTTCTATTTATAAGGTACATTTTATTTATATGGTAAATTGAACCATTTTTACACTAATGGAGTAGCCTTCTTGGTTATGGAATATTTAAGTGTGTGTGTGTGTGTGTGTGTGTGTGTAGGTTTAAATAAGAGTTGTTAAGGAAAAAAAACAAATTGGGAACTGGTAAATTAGCTAGTTCTTTTCACTCTTATAACCTCTGCTCTTTGGTGTTCTATACTTTACAAAATAAACAGATTTTTCTGGTGATTGTGCTAGGTTTTAAATGGGTATTCATCAGTATGTATATTATCTTATCTGAATCTTTTATCTGTTTCAGTCGTTTAGAAGTACTTATCAGCACCAAAGAGCTTAGGTTAGATGAATTTAGCAGAGGAACTGAAATGGACAGAGTTGAGACTTGTCATTGCTGTCTGTGGATGGGGCCATGGCTGACCCCTCTCCCAGGACCTGCACCAGAACCACCAGCCTCTCCCACGGCACTAACAGTCCTCATTCTTAAACTTGAGTGCCACTTTTCCTTCATACAGGTAGTGGAGAGTGCTAGCTTCTCTGGTGATCATGCTAGGTTTTAAATAGGCCTTCATTAATGTTTGAATATCCATGTCATTTGAATTTGAATGTCTCTTTATTTCCCTAGAAGTGAGTGGAATTGATATGGATGATGTTTGCTGGTTGGAATTTTTACTGACCTTCCCCCTCTGGCTACTTTAGATTTGTCCATCTTTTCCCCAGAGTACCATTAAAAACTAAAGCAATGTTTTGATTTTTTATCTGGGTAGATTTAGTTCCCCAAAGATGCATCAAATCATCAAATGCTCAAATTCCACATGCTCTTCTTATCGAGTGATGGACACTTTTCCATGGCATGGATTTTAGTGAGGTTTGTGGTGGCTCCGACCATTGGAGTGTGGTGGGATTGATGCCCTGCAACCTCCTGGGCTGGGGCACAGAAGGATTCATCTGTGCTTGTCCCTCTCTCAGGATCTAACCCTAAGAACCCAGGCACCATGCTGGAAGGATCCCAAGCTCAACCCGCACAGAGAGACCACAGGGAGGGGAACTGAAGTCCGCTAGCTGACAGCAGCACCCGCTGCCCACACATGAGATGATGCCAGGCCCAGACACATGGAGACACACAGTCCCTGCTGTGCCCCATGCAATTCCAGACCTATCCAACTAGCAAGCACAATAAATGGTGCTTTTACACTACTGAATTTTGGGGTTATTTGTTAATAACCTTAGTCACTACAATATCACACAAGACCATTTACAACTATATCTGAAATAAATATTTTAGAAAAGTTCATTTTTACTTTGTGGAAATAGGGATATTTTACTTTCACAGTGAGAATCGTTTTGGTAATAGACTAGGTTCCTTTCGTTAGCTAACCCATGCCATATTATATTGTGTGGTCAGAAAAGTCATGACATGTTTTTTTCTGTTTTTTCCAATGCTTTATGACTTTTCCCACAACCCAATAACTCAAATACACTGGTAGTAAAATTGCATCCCCTTGTATGAATAGACGCAGTCAGAGACATACCAGCATTAGTCTCTAAGGCAGCCCTGGCTTTTCAGAGTTGCATGCCTGAGTCTGGAGCTGCTCCTGTGCGTTTGTACATTCATCTTCTGTGGGTAAAATAACCTCACAGATCAAAAACCAGATACTTTTCCCTCTATCTCATTTGTTCCTTTTCCTCTATCAGCACCATTGAGTACACAAGATAATTCCAGATGGGAACAGTCATGTCTCTGAAATGAACAGTATGCATATGCTTTGTTGTTGTATATTATTCTTTTTTTTAAAGATGTATTTATTTATGCATGCAAGAACTGGGGTACAGGCCAGAGGTGTGGGGGGGTGAGAGAATTCAGAGACAGAATGGGGAGCAGAACAGGCGGATCTACTGAAATACACTGCTGAGAGGAGCAGTGAGTGAGACAGAAGAGGTCTGCTGCGCCATGTGGGTTAGCTCCCTGGTCAGGGATCGAACTCATGCCACAGTGGCTGGTGATAGCTTGATAGTGCTGAGACTTTAGCCCCTGTGCCACCAGGGAGGCCCCTCATAGGAGCACTTATTAACCTACAGATAAAAACTAAAACTCATGAAGAGTAAGACTCTCCCATTAAAAACCATCTATTTCTCAAATGTTTCATGACATTTTAAACAAACATATTCTGTAGTTTTCTTAGAAAGCTCATCCTTGGCTGTTGAGATCCTATGAATTCATTTTCTGAGAATAACCATGTGCAAAAAAGTCATCCAGCTCACTCACACACACCCTCCCCTCTCCCAGCTGGGCCATGTTCCCAAGTGGTCTTCCCTCCCACTTTTCCACGTACCCACCCTTCCTCCTCCTCAGTCTGTCTACCTTGTCCATCAACTATCTACTAAACCTACATGTGCAACTTGCTTGAGACTGGAAGAATCAGAACTAGGGTCCTGAAGCATTGAGATCTTTCAATTCTAAAATTATACTGCACAGTTTTGTTCAACTACACAGTTGGCAGATTGGAGCATTTTATTTTATGTTCTTTAATCTTTTCCTGTGGATGGTGGGTTTTTAACAACTTCTCTCTTGGTTGCAGAGTAGGATGTGTATATATATTTCCATTTATGAAAGTCCCTTTGTCCTCCAAGGACACAGTACACTATGCATCTCAGAAATGATCTCAGCTTTACCTCAGTCCTGCTCCTCCCCAGGGCTACTGTGTGGGTAGAGTCTATTCTTATGTACTGGAACTTTCTATTTAGAAAAAAAATACTGTTCCAGAAAAACAGTAGATTTCAACTACAGTCGACGTTATTTGTATGTGGTGTCCAAGAGGCTGGCTACACCACAATTTATGGAGACAAACTTAGTAGACAAGGCAGATTTGACACATACTATTTTTTGAAAGTCTCTTTTTAAATTGTAATAAATCTCAACTCCATTGTTTCCTTCCTTTGAAATTTAAAGTCTCCATTTTTCATTTTTAAAAATTTATTTCTACTTTCCGCTACATGAAGTTCTGTATGGACTCAGGGTAGTGTCCCTGGCCAGGCCATGCAAATTTCACGATTTGGGGCAGGCTTTTGGTAGATCATTTTCCTTTCCCTCCCCAATGAAAATATTTGCAAGAATAGAAAATCACCTATGAATGATAGCTGGTTGTGTAACAGGGTGGTTCCCAG